TTACGTTCTGGAGTAAAAAAACAGTGACACTTTTGGACTATCCCAGTATACAAAGACTCTGCTGAGCTAATCAACTCCTGTTAGAGGAGCGGCTCAGTTTTAGTCTCAGCGACTCCTCTGTTGGCGTACAGTCCAAAGAAATCACAGACATGTTATGCAACAACACACACATATCTTAAAGGAGAGGTGTCATGCTTTTCCGGTTATTACCCGTCCCCTTGTGTGTTATGAAGGTTTTTATGCATGTAAACGGTGTGCAGAGTCAAAACCCTCAAAGTACACCCTGTAGCGAGTAAAACTCTAACACAGAAAATACCTCCCAAAACGCCTCGTTGGAGATACGTCATTGTCCATTTGATTCTTCCGGGTACGGCATGATGTCAACCCGTACCCGGAACAAAATGGACCAATCCGTGGAGCCGTTACGTTACGTCCGCGGAGCCGTTACGTTAAGCCCCCGCTGATTGGTCCAAATTGACCAATCCACGGACTTCCTCACACACACACAGTGCAGGCAGCTCAGCTGATTTCTCCTCCCTGGCTGCAGGCTGATAACAGACAGTTGGGATCGCGGCAAAATTCTCTCTGCAGACCCATTCTCACAGCGTTTATCGACCTTTTTCTTACTCAATATCAAGCCACACTTAACACTTATTGTTTTTACTTCGGATGTGAGTTTGTGTGTGCTCAGGATGGGTTTGGCTGTGTTTCGCTATTGGCACGTTTCCACTACAGCGCGGAGCACGGTTTAAGAGGGCTGTGACGTCAGCGGCCCGTTTTTGGTTGCGTTTCCACTTGGCCTAGTACCGGCCGGCGGGTCCTAATTCACAGTTTTTCTGGCCTCATAAAATCGTGGGTCTAGGGCCAGAGACAACGAGGCTGAGTCGGGCTGAGTATGCTAAACTAGAGAGAGCATCGCTGGCAAGGGGGGCTACAACTACAACAAGATGGACATATTTGACCGTGATTTAATTGTAATACACGTTTCAAAATGATGCCGAAGTAACAACATACTGATACCGGTTAGTAAAAACCATGAATTAATGCTTTGACAAGTCTGCAGACAGACGGCAGGCGAAAAACCTTTTAAAATGCGTGTTTTCTAAATGGAGATTGGCTAAGCTAACGCAGTATATGCTCCGACCGTCCACACTCACAACAACGGCCTATACAGACATAAATAAAGCAGCGACTGTATTCACCATGACACAGGCAGTCTGTGGTTTGTACTTGTTTAACTTTTGTCTAGTTTCTGACCAGATATGAGGAGCTGTGAGCTCTGAGTGCTAACAGCTAACGGCTGTGTTGTTTTTCTGGGGTTCTCATTGAAGATGACGTCACGGCTCCGCCTACACTGCGTTACTATAGATACTACCCCAGTTCCTAAACTGTAATGGAAATGCGCCATAAAGTGAGCCAGTCCTAACGAGGCCTAGCCATACCGAGCGAGGCCGTGCGAGGCCGTGTAGTGGAAATGCGCCATAAGTATCCTAAACAAGGAAACAACACCTCCACGGAGCTCAGCGCGATTCACAACGTCCCGACCAATCAGAGCACACTGTGCTCACAGGGAGGGTGGGGGTTGGAGCTATTGGAGCTACAACGAGCCGTTAAAGGCAGAGAGTGAAATTCAGTGAATACAAGTAGTTTACAGAGATGCTGTTTGAGAAACCAATGTGAGTTTGGAAAATTGCACAATATAAATCTATTTTAGTATACCTCAACAATGGAATTATGATCAGTGGAAATGGCCATGACACCTCTCCTTTAAGTTTCCCCGATGACCACTTATAACCTGACTTCTGCTTGGATTTTGATGAAAAGTTGAAAAGATCTGGATCTGAAATTCAAACCAAATGCTAATAAACACTAAAAATGTAATCAAAATGTTGCAGTAAAACAACACACGTCTGTAAAGTAGATGCTAGGCCTAACATAGCACAGAGGCTGACAACTGGATGTAACAGTTAATATGTTTTTTTCCCCAACTCCTAACTAACATATAACCACAACTTGTAGTTTAACAAACAAGATGAGTGAAGTGTTAACTAGTTATCTTTATAGGTGCTGGTTGACGTGTTGCTTTTGGACAGAGCCTAGCTAGCGTCTTCCTAGTTTTCAGTCATGTAGTCATGGATTTCGCCATTAAGACATCAATCAATCTTCACATTTAACTGCTGGCAAGACAGAAAAAAAGTGTATTTCCCAATGTGTCGAACTATTCCTTGAAACATCCCAGCTGCAAAAGTATTTCCAGGAATGAACTGATGCCAAGTCAAATGGGTGGGTATTCCAGTGTTTTAGGCTCATAGTAGGAGCTCATAAGGAGCCTGTCTTCATCTTTATTATCAGTGTGCTTAAGAGGAATCCTCAGTATCTCTGAGATCCAGCAGCATCTCATTTAATCTCATTACTTGTCACAGCAGTTTAGAAACAAGCCATAGGGATAAAGTTACTGTTGTTTATTTCAACAGAACCCTTGACACACCTCAGCATCTCAAAGCGGGACCAGGTCATATTCAATGTATTTTAAGACTTAGTTATGATCTTGACAAATATGACGAGACAATGTCGGATGCCTTCAAATGTAGGATGTCTTCCAGTTAGATCCAATTGCATTTAGACTGTATGTGCTGTTTTGTTATTTGTTTTGCAAGGCACAAACAAATTGTGTTGTGATTGGGTTTACTTTGGGAAATAAACCCTAACTTTGCTTCTCGTATCCTCAGCGATTAGAATTAGTACAAATGTTTTCATGCAAATACTAAACCAACCAGACAACAGCTCAGATATACATATACATATAGTTCTCAAAACATCCTGTACTAGGCCAAGAAATGACTTTGAAAAAAAACACAAGTGCTACGAGAGGATATTTAAAATCTGGGAACATAGCAGCAAAGGTGACATGTTTTCCTTAGCTCTTATTTTTTCTGCAAACCAAACTGCTCAATGCTGATTGAAAAAACAAGTTTCTGATGTGCAAACAATGCAGGTTATTGCATTACCTGAATGCCGCTGCCTATACAGTATCTATTGCAGCTCATATTAAATGTAAGATCGACAACTTAGACGTCCATGGTCTCTAACACGAAAACCTTTCAGAACATATTACATTCCACTAACGACACATGATGAACAAAAAGATGACACACAACCAGACGCCAACATCTGTAGATAGCATAATGTAAATCTTTTATTAATGGTATTGTCCATTACTAAGTTAATAAAAAACAACCCGCTCTCAGATGATCTAAAGTGGGAAACTATGAATAACAATTTCACCATCAGCCTTAGAACGACTCATCTGTAAATGTAACTCCTTCAGCAAATTAAATGCAGACAATGTATGATCCTTATTAAAAAAAAAACATTTCTAAACCTAACCCTAACGCTAACCCTTGTTTAAACTCTCCACAATGACAATGGCATAGCATGTGTAAAGAATTCTTAATTTGAAGGTAAATCAGAGTCACAGAGTTGTTATCAAGACCTTTAACTGGTACCCCCCTTTTCTAACCCAGTCCCTCGATGAGACGTGACTGAGCAAGCATTGAGGCTTCAGTGGGAATATTCATGGAGCTTGGTTGCTAAGATCCATAGGACGGGGTGGTATTGTTCATTTTGGAGCAGAAAGAAAGAAGTGAGCACAGATTGATGAGAACGGTCAGTCTGCGGAGGTTTCACTCAATGGAGCTCTCTGCTGACAAGTCAGAGCCTTTGTGGGGTTGAATTATTTGCCATTATTCTATCAATGGAAGGGCAGTGAAAAGACTTTTGGAAACACAGTCTGCATGGATTAGTGGAGTTTAGGGTTATAAGAAGGCTAGGGAAGTGTGTTGGTTAGAATTACAGGTAGTAAGCGTCTGGTTGCATGCGTCTCAGAGTCCGTAATAACAGCATTAGGTAGATGTTCAAACTATTTAGAGAGACATCTGCCACCTAAGAAGTCCAGACACTGATTATACGTTTGGAGTTGCGACAACAGACACAGGGATAAACATTAAACCCAATGGCTTTGTACTTGAAAAGTCCAATTACACCCTTACTTCCACCAAAATGAGTAGTTCTCGACAGAAGCAGAGCTCAGGCAGGACCCACACACGATGCCCGCTAAGCAAACTCAAACACAACAAGGCTCAAAATTGGTAAAGTGAACCACATCAAGCCTTCATAAGTGGCATGGAAGAGTTTTCGAGGCATTAAGCCAGAAGTAAACAGAGTCATTTTACTCTAGGAAGGATTATGATTCATTATGGTTCATTTTGGCCACAAAGGCCTCCCTAATGCAGCAACCTGCAGACAAGCCCTCTTTCTCCTGCAGGGTGAACAGACAGACACTTGTTTTGCTCAGGGTTTGACAGCGGATTGGATTTGATGAAGAGGTGAAAAGGTCTTTGTCTAGCCCCTGCCACTAAAAAAGCAACAACTGTGACCCTAAATGTTTCTTTTGGTGCATCAACATGCCGCCAATGTTAAATCGCAAGACATTTTTCAAAGGAACAGCTTCATTTTAATTTTCTGGAACCTAAAAGGTTATTTCAACATTTTTCAGGACAGTGATATTGTCAATGCCACTTAAACTTTCTGGCAATCACATGGCCCCTAATATTCAGTTATTATGTAAGACCAGAAGATGCATGTAAAAAAGTCTCTCCTAATCCAATTGTGGATGCGATTATTGATTTCACAATACCTTTTTTATTGATCCGATAATGAATATTTTGGGGTTCCATACTCAATGACCACGTATAAAGGCAATAGCTTTTCTACCCATTCCAAATGCCAACACTGCTGTCAAGCCACCTCTTGGATCTTTCCGAAATAAATCTGAATAAAAAATAAAATAAAAACGGACTTTATTGAATCTCCCATTAGATGGTAGCAGTTCATATTCTCTGTTCAGAACATGCTTTGGGTCCCAGATGATGTTGTTGGACAGGTTATTATGGTATGCTGAGTCATTAAGTCTCTGACAGGGTTGAACAACAATCTCTTACCTGTAGTAGAGGAGCTCTGACTCCAGCTGCAGGATGTGTCTCTGCAGAACTGGAACGTGATTGGCTTTGGCCTCCAATTCCTTCACCTTCCCCAGACCGTTGAGCAACGCCTGCCTGGCCTCCTCCACCTTCCTCCTCATGCCCACCTGCTCCCTCTTTAGGGTTCGGTTGCAGTCCTCCAGAGCAGCCACAGTCTCTCTAGAGCTCCACAGCTCCTGCTCCAGTCTCTCGTTACTCAACATGGCCTCCTCTGCATGTCGCTCTCTGGATCCTCGCAGCAGCTCGATCTCCTGGATGATGTTCTGCAGACTCTTCAGGTTGCTGTTGCTCAAACCGTGCTGAGCTTCTTGTGTTTGGAGAGCAGCGACGCAGCTTTCCTCTGGTTTATGTTTGGAGTGGCTCTTCCATAGTCCTACCTGAAAAAGGGAGGGCAATACGATAGCATCAATATATTATGATGCTGAGGCTGTGGCTCAGTGGATAGTGTGATGGACTTCAAATCAGGGGATAGCAAGTTCGAGTCCCACTGCAGTCAGCATGTCGTTGTGTCCCTGAGACACTTCACCCCAAATTGCTCCTGTGGGGATTGTCCACAGTATTGAGTATGTAAGTCGCTTTGGATAAAAGCGTCTAACAAATGACATGTAATGTATTATAATATCTGTTTTCTTTTTTGTATTACTGCCGAATCTTATTCCATATTTTTATTCAATGTTATTCCATTCCATTTGTATGTAAATACTGCTATACTTTACTATATTTGTTATCATTTTAAATATTTTTTAATGTTATTATAGTTCTCTATCTGTGTTTTTTTTTTTGGGGACATTTTGAATTGGCCCTCAGCTAATTCTGAAAGTATAATGAAATATGGCCCACAAATGAAACTTTCGCTTGTCTTGTATTGTACTTCTTAAATACATATGTGAACATATATTACAGTATTCATGTGTTAATAAGCCCAATTTTTTTATAAATTCAGTCAATTAAAGTTGCAAACATTTTCTAATAAATCGAACTTGATAAGAAATAAGCCCAATAACTTATTTGTATAACAAGCGTGAAATATACCCTTCACATTTCCCCTAATTATAAGCAATCTGAGGCTGCTGTTTTAAGAAATGAGCTGCTAACTAAATTAATTTATGAAGAGCTGGGATGTAGGCAGTTTTTTCTTAAAGCATATTCAAGTAACAAGCATAATTGAACTACATTTCATTGATTTTGTTGACTTATAACTTCACCGATAAGGCAGTATATACCTCACCTCTAGTGAGGGGTGCAGCCCTTCGTATATTTTCTGTATGTGGCCCTCGGGGAAAAAAGTTTGGACACCCCTGCTTTAACTAATGGTAAATGCACTGTATTTATATAGTGCTTTATCCATTCTGTACAACTCCTCAGTTAGCATTCACCCCTTCACACACATTCATAGAGTTCATACATTCATACAAGATGCCTCCTGCTCAAAGGAAGCTGACATTCACACACTGTGCAATTGGGAACAACTTAGGGAGGGTGAAGTACATATCTTTCCCAAGAACACATCTGCAACATGTCGATAAAACAGTCGGCATGATGACTGCAGGGGCTGGAAACGAATCCTCAACCTTCCTTGATGACTTATAGATAAGTTGGAAACAAGAGCTTTTTTGGATTGTCGGCTGTGGAAAATCTCTCATACGGTCAATGATGAGTCTGTAATGAATCATTACTTGATAGGCTAATGATAATAAGAAATGTATACTTGTCCGTTATAACTCAATGGTTTGCCAGGTTGTGATTGATGTGATGATTTAAGAGGACACCTTTCTTAAACTAAATATCTTGGTTTCTTATCTTTTAAGGTTACATTGTTCTGTTGTTTTACATAATACCCTTAATGAAAAACATCTTCATATTTATGTATTACTCTTTTATTTATTTGCATTGCATTTGATATTGAGGTAATCCAAAAGTAACAGAAAGTAATCAGATTAGGTAGAAGGCTACTTTTACATTGTACGAATATCAGTGGTGTAAAGTAACTAAGTACAATTTTGAGATACTTGTACTTTACTTGAGTATTTCCGTTTTCTGCGACTGTGTACTTCTACTCCACCACAGTTCAGAGGTAAATTGTGTACTTGTACTCCACTACATGTATGTAATACCTTTAGTTACTTCACAGATCTGGATGAAGGATGTGAAATATAATCAAGTGTTAAATCAGACTTTAGTTCCACCTGGAGTAAATTCACAAGCTACCCTGCAGTATACAAAGTCATTCAAACTAGCTGCACCTTTACCAGCTTTGAGAACACTTTCATGATCAATCATTATAAAACATATCATATATATTATTCTGAAATGGACCAATCTGCACAATGAATACTTTTACTGTCGCTACTTTAACTATATTTTGATGAGAATACTTTTCTACTTTTACTTGAGGAATATTTTGAATGCAGTACTTTTACTGTAACAGAGTATTCCTACACTCTGGTACTTCTACTTTTTAAGTACAAGATCTGAGTATTTCTACTTTTACTCAAATACAAGAACTGAGTACTTCTACTCTTATTCAATTACAAGATCTGAGTACTTCTACTTTTACTCAAATACAAGAACTGAGTACTTCTACTTTTACTCAAATACAAGAACTGAGTACTTCTACTTTTACTCAAATACAAGAACTGAGTACTTCTACTCTTATTCAATTACAAGATCTGAGTACTTCTACTTTTACTCAAGTACAAGATCTGAGTACTTCTACTTTTACTCAAATACAAGAACTGAGTACTTCTACTCTTATTCAATTACAAGATCTGAGTACTTCTACTTTTACTCAAATACAAGAACTGAGTACTTCTACTCTTATTCAATTACAAGATCTGAGTACTTCCACTTTAATGCATCAATAATTATTAAACATATATATTATTCTGAAATGGATCAATCTGCCCAATGACTACTTTCACTTTTGGTACTTTATATTTGGATGATAATACTTTTCTACGTAGGACTTTTACTGTAACAGAGTATTCCTACACTCTGGTACTTCTACTTTTACTCAAGTACAATACCTGAGTACTTCTACTTTTACTCAAGTACAATACCTGAGTACTTCTACTCAAGTACAAGATCTGAGTACTTCTACTTTTACTCAAGTACAAGATCTGAGTACTTCTACTTTTACTCAAGTACAAGATCTGAGTACTTTTTACACCTCTGAAGAATATACATGCCTGCTTTTAGAGTTGCAGCTTTTCTAAGCAGAGAGCCCTCTTCTTCTCAGCAGAATAAACATGTTGACCCTCCCCATGGCTCTCACCTGCAGGGCCATACAGCGGGCATCGCTGCTCTGTAACGCGGCTCTCATGTCCTCGATCAGCTCCCTCAAACTCGCATTCTCATCCTCCAGCTTCACTACTCGGTCTTCTGCTTCCTCCAGAGCCACAATCTCCTCATAGCACTCTTTGGTGCAGGATCCCAGCCTGCAGCCGGAGGCGTGCCGACCCTCCGAGGCTTCACCCAGCCCGGCAGACAGCAGCTTCTCCCGCCGCCTCAGAGGGCTCCTCAGGCGGATCTGAGTCTCGATGTGCTCGCTGTCCTTCCCCACCAACAACCGGCCGTTTTCATACTGACACCCCGCCTTGGTGCTGAAGTATCCGCACAGTTTGGCGTGGAAGTGTCTGAAAGTGAGCTCGCTGGGTAAACTCTCCAAACTGCATTCAGTATCCACCTCTTTGTTCAGCCCCAAAACTTCACACAAGATGTTAAAATCCTCCACGGAGACTTTTCCTGCGCCTTGGTAGTCCATGTGATGGAAAATCTCCTGCAGGTATTGATCCAAGCCGGTGGCCAGAACTATGATCTCGTTCTCCACCCCCCGGTCCAGTCCGTAGTGGTAAGCCAGGGTGCTCACTATCCATTGCGTCCGGCGCGCGGGGCGGCTGTATGGATCAATGGCATCCATCATTTGTGCGTAAAAACATCATATTCCCTCAAACTTAGCACACTTACTTTGTTTCCTCCAGCATTGCCCTGTGTGAGCTCTTGTTCCTCCAGAAGCTGTGCGCACACTGGAGCTGAAATGAGACAAACGGAGCACATTTGAATTTAGCCATGCCCCCAAAACCCCAAAACCAGGGGTCCCAACCAGTAAAACACACACAGCTTCACTATAACTTATACTGCCGTTTGCCGCAGTGTAATTGCCACCAGGTGTGTGAACTTGTGTCATTCACTCGGTTAGACCTTGTTAAGATGTAAGATGCCCCAGAGACTACTATGCAGTGTTTCTCCAACTGAAGAATTTTAACTGCCTGCTCTTTATTCGAGAGTTACACTGGCTCATAGGGCTTTGTGCACAATTTGCACCTTGCTGCTTCCCTGATTACATGTAAGATTACAAAAAAGGTATATGAAAATGTTTTTTATTATTTCTAAAACATAAGATTACTAGCAGTTTTAGACTGTTACACTACATTTTAAAAATAATAATGCCTTTTGGTTTTATTTAGACATACTTTCAGGAGATTTAAACAAACTATAGGCTACTGGTTTCTTATTTTTTTAAGGGTACAATACATTTTGGTAAAAAAACATTTTATGGGTTTTCATTTTCTCTTGTTTTTATTTGCTTTCCATTTGATATTGAAGTAATCCAAAAGTACTAGAAGTATTAAAAATGTTTTATATATTTTGATACTTAGATTAGTTTACTGTTAACATTTTACAGGTAAGTTATTTTTACGGAACACATGTTTAAAGTTACCCTTCAATTTGAGCATGTTTACTGCTGCACTCAAATCCCCCTCGTAAAAGTTATCAACCAAATGTGTCTGCTTTAATTGTTCATTTGAGGCTGTTTTTTTCGACAACTTTCAATTTGGTTTTACAATATTTCTTATATGATGTTAAATTCTAACACATCTTGAACTACCCTGCACAAGAAGTTGTTTTTCTGTCTTGATTTGTAGCGTAATTGCGATAGTTCCGACAGTGTGTGAGGCCAG